CTTGTAGACACCCCTACTCTAGGATTTCTTTTATGGTAGGATTTCTTTTATTGTAGTCCTTATCTTTGGAATACCACTCCCCAGAGAAACTCACCTGGCACTTTTCAGTTCTCTTTCTGATGCCAGGGAAATGTTCTCCTTTTAAAGAAAAACTGTCCCAGAACTTCAGAAATTGCCACCAACGTGATACTTGGCTCTGTTTTTACAGTTCTCTTTTTGCTGCCCATGGCATTAATCTTCATTGAGACTGTACCATTTCACATTCTGAAAAATCCCTTTGGAATGCTGGACATTGGACAAATGAGATATAAATGCTGAAAGTAGATGCTGAAGAAAGCAAAGAAATAGCTCTCTGGGATGCATCAATCCATCTCTGCAGAGATTGCAGAGATCAACCTATGTATGGATTCATGGTAGGGCAGATAAAAGAGGGGTGTCTTCTGATCAAACTAGAAAGTTAAGACAGCAAACCCTTCACATTATCCCATTGGGTCCAACTGCTGTTGACTTTCTTCTCAACACTATCTCCATCAGTGCCATCTGATCATGCTGAGGTTTTCTCTATCGCCTGACTGAGATCAATGAACATTTGACTCTTAATGTCTCCATTGGCAATCATTCCAGCTGGTCATTATCTAACTACAGCAGAGAACAGTATGAAAGAATCATTACTTGAGTTTGCTTCCTTCTCTTCCACCATTTCTTTCTTTTGTTTTCCTTTTGTATCAGATAAATAAAAGCAGAAATGCAAAAGTACAGCATAAGGCCAAGGGATGAGAAGAAATGCTGGAATGAAGAACAAGGATATGACCTGCAAGGAATTTTTTTCCCACCCCAGAAATGTCATCATAGTAACAAGGAAGGAGGAAAATAGTAGTCACCTGGTGCCTGTCCATAATTCTGAATTATACTGATATTATAATCAGACTGGATCACACCCAGATGTTTAAGCTAAACAACTACAAATTGCAAAATTCAGGAAAATGAGCCTTGTGACAAGAGCAGATCAATTCCAGCAAACCAAGTAGACTGAAACACATAAGGAAGCAAATTTGTTTTCTTTGGGACATCTCAGATTGCATTGGATGTCTTCCGTCCTTCCTTCCTTCCTTCCTTCCTTCCTTCCTTCCTTCCTTCCTTCCTTCCTTCCATTTCATAACTGATAATTTCACAGTAGATTTTTGCATTAGTACTTTCAAACATTCCACCTGCTTATCGACCACATATTAATTAAACACCTAACAGGTCTTGTGACCACACTTACAACATGAATCTCTGAAAAGCCTCAGTTATAACCTGTTTAATCTCATAGCACCTTCCAAGAGGACAATTTTATTTCTTCTGCACCTGCTGATTAGGAAATTGGTTTAGCTCCACAGGTTGGGGGAAGGGGACATTCAACTGGACCACACCACTGCTTCCTTCCATTCACAACCAGCGCTTTCTCATCCTGGAGCATTTTGAATATTGACTATATTTCTTCCTGCACAAAATCATTGGAAAGTCTCAGAAGCTGCAATACTAAGATACTTATGCTAGAGAGTAAGTCTCGTTGAACTCAATGGGACAGAATTTTGAGTAAACACCCATACGGTTTATATTCATCATACAAACATACAATATAGACCCCGTGCATTGGAAAAATCTCAAAGGCTGCAAGACTGCAATAAATATATAAGGGCAGTTACCCCAACCTAGTAAACTCTAGCTGTGAGGACTTCAGCTCCCATAATTCCCAATCAGGAATGTCACAGACATTGAAGTCTAACCTGAGAGCATCAGGTTGGAGAAGGACGGCAGAGAAAAAATGCATAGGATTGTCAGCATTGCACAAGGGGGAACAGACTGACATTCAATTGCAGGCCTCTTTTCCCTTTGTGAAGACCAAGGTAAAATATGATCCTTGGCTCCTCCCTGTGGCAAGATTATTTAAATAAAGCTATGCACTTTCTGTGTATGAATGAGACTGGACACAGATTACATCAGCTCACCAAAGCATTGCAATTGCATCAAAGTTGGCTGGGCACATAGCACACATCCCAAGACCATTTTGCAGACATCACTTGACAGTTCCAGGAAAATATGGAATATTTACAGAATATGTCGAATGGGCTTCTCAGTGATCCCTGTCACAACAACTTGACCGTGTCTCCTTTAAAAATGGAGTTCTTGCAGAAGTATCTTTAAGTGCAGGCTACTAGAAAGAACTTGACAGTTTTTGCTGCTTTAATATGGGGTGTGGGGGAGAAACTCTTCAATCAATCTATTTTAAGAAATTAGGGAGGATTCAAAAAAAGGTCAAGTAATGTTATGTTTACAGAAGAGGCCCCATCTTTGCAGTTTGTTATATTAGGTGGATTCAAGAAACCACAAGACTGGCTCAGGGACTGAAAAAGTATTTCAACCTGATTTTCTTTCTTCCCTTTCATAAATGCTACACAGGAATGTCCCTTTGCAACTGGGAGGAAAGGGTCAAAAGCAATTGGTGCAGATGTTCTTAAAATTGGGGGGGGGGGATCACCAAATTTGGATTTAACTCTATGCTGTGCATTTTGTCCTAACAGTTTGCATTCAGTCTGATGAAAGAAAAGAAGGTTTTGAAATTTCTTTCAAAGGAGAAGGCATTTCAGTGAACATCTCATCAATGGAATGTGGCAATTTTGACATTTATTTAGTTATGGGGAAGCCAAGGAATGTGTGTAAATTTCCTGTCTTTCATTATAGAGGCCTCTTCAGGAGTTGGAGTTTGCAACCTACCTGGCTTCCCATATTTCCATTAAATTGGAAGAGAAGATGAGGAAACTCCCCCATGGAAAGGTTTCATATATGAAGTATAAACAACCTTCTTCAACAATAAACTGGTGGTGTTGTCAAATATGCCATCACGGGAAATTCAAAAGCAATTTTCAGGCACCTTGAGAACATGATACAAAAATCAAGTCTCAAAGGAGAAGAAAAAGGCAAGCCAGGTTTCAGCACAGCTTTGACCCAAACATTTAGATAATATTTTGGATTTCATTTTTTTTCTTTTTGATTAGGTCAGCCCCTTGATATTGTTTGCAACTTGTGAAGGGGAGGGGCTGTTCTTTTATATCCCTCCCTCCCTCCTCTGAATGCCCAAGTTCATTGTGTAACAGATTGTTTCTCAAACATCAATGAAACTTTTGAGGATATAGGAAGGGAGAAACCTAAAGATATGCCATCAAATGTTATTTTAGGGGGAGAGGCATAGTCCTCCTCCTTCAGAATCAAAACCTCCCATCCCCAAATAAGCAAACAGAACATAAACTTAAGAATTATAGAAGATTCCAAACATGGCTGTTATCTACCTGTCAATCAATAGGGAATTACAGCACGTGGGAATTCTTTCTCACCAACAGAATGTAGGAAAGTTCAGATCTGATCTGTTACTATTGCAGGCTGCTTTCACCATTGTGAAGCATGATCAATTATGACTCTGCCCCATGTACATCTTATTGAAACAACTGCAACACTGGATTTATAAAGTGCTAGGGGATGGATCAACTCCATTCCTTGTTATCTCCTGGGTTCACTCTGCCCTGTCTTCCCCTCCTCTGAATTCTGGCTGAACTAGGAAATTTCAGAAATAGGCTGTCAAGCATTGAATTAGCACATCTCAAGAGCTTAGAGAGGCTTTAAAGTTCTCCTGAGCAATGAGAACAGAGTTCCTTTCTCCCACATCTCTATTTGTACAATCCAATCAAACTCTCATATGAACGTACATGTTATTTTAGGGGTTTTTTACTGATGTGCACATACACTGAACAGCATCAGTTAAAATTACAAGCACACACCAAATCTTGATGGAATTTTTTATATTGGAATGGGTGCCCCAATATTGGTGAATCACTGTGGCCCTGAGAACCCAAAAGGACAGGTGAGTTCCACCCATCTCTCCTGTTTGTCAAGTATCAGCCCCACCAGTTCACCTATGGGGAAAAGCAAGATTGGTGGGAGTAAGATGTAGGATAAACTTTTCTGTCACTATTTCTGCCCAGCAACCAAGATCTCTGGTTTCTCCCAGTTAATGGCAATAGGAAACTAGAGAGTATTATCAAGGTTATAGGGAATCTTTGTTGCAAATATTCCTTTGGTACAAATTAAAGGTTTCAGTGGGTGGAAAATCAGCAAACATAACTCCAGTTACCGTGAAGAAGGAAAAGGCAACAAAGTTTTTTTTTTCATCCCTCTCAACACATCCTTAGTTTGTGTGAGTGTAGTGTGCGTGCCATGTATAGATGAAGATGTGAAAATACACTCATGTGATCCTGGCACCTACTGTCTGACTCAATCTGGTGTTTAGATTAAGTGATGTTGCCAAAGCTGATATATGGGAGCATCATGATTTTAAAAAAAATAAAAATAAAATGTGTTATCATGAAATGTCATATGAGATTGGACAACAGGAGTGACATGAAGGAATGAAAAGCTCCAGCAAACAGTGCATACGTTTTGTCAAAATTCAGATAATTTCTTTGCTTGTTTTAAATGGAAAATTCTATTGTACCAGCTCCCACCTAGAAACAAAACCATGTGGTTTTGTTTTTCTAGTATGTGAGAAGAATTTCAGAAATCTTTCTGGATAGCATTTTCTGTAAAGACTCAAGACATTTCATAAATACTGTCTTTAAGGCAGGAGCTGAGATCTATGGTTCCTCAGATGTAGTTGGACTCCCTCTTCAGCCATTGTGGCTAATAGTCCAGCATGATGGGAATTGCAATTCTCCACCCCAATCTTCATTCAAGGGGGAGATATATTTTAAATTCCATAAAGCAATTTATGGAAACACCAAGGAATCTGGTGGCACCTTGATGACTAACAAATCTATTAGCACATAGGCTTATGTGGATCATAGTGTGAATGATAATACATTTTTTTAAAGATGCCACAAAACTACTGTGCTTGGCAAGATTAAGGGAAGTAGAAGAAAGGAAGACAACAGATAAAGTAGATGAATGGAATCAAAAGATTACTGGAATGTCACTGGAAGAGCTCAATTTATTGCTGGAGATAAGCTGAGATGGTGAGCAGTTGTCCACGAAATCATCAGGAGCTCAGCCCAACTAGATGACATCTAACTCATTAACTTACTGAGGTGCCACAAGGGTCCAGTGTTTTTGCTGCAAAAGACTAATATGACTAGAGATTGATGGAAAGATTGTAGCTTGTCAAGCAACCTCCAAGGTTTTAACTCAAGGAGTTTTGGAGACATTCTTGGGTAAGCCTACTGCTCCTAACATTACATCAACTAGCACAGATGATTGTACAAGCTTGCTCCCATCCTTTCTGGTACATGAGAGACACACGCAGTGCAGACATACCCTTAAGAAATGGAGAAAAAACAAAACCCCACACTGGAAGGATTTGTGAGACCACAATTCACAAATGTTTGCACGCTGCAGGGAAATCTCAGCAGGACTGAGAAAATCTTCTTTTTCACTTGGAATGAAGGAAGAAGCCACCAGTCTCTGATTTCAGACTTTCCTATTAATAAGAGAATAAAACAAGATATAGTCAAGAGTTAGATATCGCTAGATGAGCTGGAGAACTAAGAAGTCTTGAGTTTCATTTAGTTCAGATGAGAAGGTACTCTTTGTTCAGCCTGTATCTGCAAAAGTTAAACATGTGCTTGGAGTGAAGACAGGCACTTGAAGCTCATCTGAAATGTTCCTGTAAATCTCTGACTAGTTGAGCATTGAGCAAGAGTTTGGGATGGGGAGGGGGGAAGCAGAGACACATCCTCTAAATTTGCAGTCAGAAGCCATATCAGACCCCAACATGTAGGGAAGTCTTTTAAAGATCCCAGTCCCTTCCCCCACTTTCTGTTTTCATAAAAGATATTAAAGGTATTTATTAAAACATTTGGCCTTTTAAATGGCGTTCTGCAGCTCCACATTTGCTTTAAAGAGGATTGGGAAAAAATATGGGCCTTATGGAGGTGAAGCTCCAGGTTTTGTATGTAGCAAGAGTAAGCAAGGTTATTTAAGAATGCCAAAAGATCTAAAGGGCAACTATGGGGAAAGGTGGGGTTTATCTAAAATTACTGGGTAAAGGAAACAGCCTTGGAGATAATGGAAAGTACCCTTAGAATGGAGGAGATTGGGGCAATTTTGGGACTGGGATTCTTTTCTTACAGAAGGAACTTAAGAAAAGGCTTCTCCAGTTTGAAAACAATTCATCAGTTTGTAGCAGAAACACGTGCTCTAAAGCATGAACAGTTGTTAATCCTTTCCAGATCTTTGGAAAGCAGCAGTTCTAGAGATGGAAAATTTCAAGGCCAAGGACTGAAAATTATCCTTCTGTCCCTATTTTCAATGGTAGGCAGCCGTCTTCCTAAGAAGTTCTGGGATGACAAAATTTTGACTGGCCGCACAAACCATTTATAGTAAAAAAGGTGTCCTATTCAGTACCGCAGCTGTTATTCCTGCCCCAACTGTAAAGGCGACAGTAACATTTAATTTAGCCAGCTTTGTCATAACCTAAGACTTTTATCTGTTTATGTTTGGGTGTCTGCCTTCTTAGACAACTTATTTATAAAATAGTTCCAAGGCAATGCCATTCAAGCCAATGAAGCTATGTAAAATGACCAGTCCAAACTGATCAGTACAAATTCATGAGTAGGTGGGAATAATCTTAGTGAAGGCCATTTTTTTAAATAAGAAAGGGACCTAATTGTGTTATTAAATTGTCGAATCTCAACATTCTTTTGTGCTTTACCATTGGTGACCCAAATGTATTTCTCCAAATGGTATTTAAGTAGCTTCAGGATGCTTCATGAAGTCTCTGTGGAAGACGTCAATTGATTATTGTGGAATTTTTGTTGGGAGAAATGCTACAGGCATGATCTCAGGTTGGAGTAGAAACCAGAAGTCAATCTATTAGTTAATCTGCCTTTTCAAGATAAAATAGAACTGGACGGCTATCCTATTCCACCCAGCGAATTAACTGGGGGAAAGACATCTAAAGAACAATTTAAACCAAGCTCTTTCCCATCAGATGAGATCTTTTTTTCCTTACATGCATACATACATACATACGAATTTCAGATTGATGAATATCCAGTTTGACACAATCTTTGATTCCTTCAGTTCACATGTATTCTTCCTCCCTCCCCCTGCTTAGTACAATATAACCCAAAAGTAATCTTTATCCACATTTATGACCACTGATACCCACATTCACACCCGTGCAGATATGCATACTGAGTGATAGAGATGGACAGGGTGGACTCTGAAGGTCAGGGAGAGGAAGAATGTGCTAGCCCACCCCCCACCCCAATCTTTCTTGCAATCTCAATAGCTCTTTTACCTTGCCATTGTGTTATATCCATGCCTTCAGAATTTGAATTAAATCTTTGTCCCTGTAACAGTGGACCTGGCTCCTTTGCTCTCCTGAGATCATTCCTTTAAAGTAAGATAAAAACAGAAGTAGACAGAAGGGGAAAAAAAGCTGGAGCCGATGGCACCTGTAGAACATTCTGCGCATAGTTGAGAAATGAAAAAGAGTGAAGGATTCCTAATGCATCAGCTCCACTTCAAAGACAAGATCAGCCTAATCTCAAAAATCCAGGGAGAAATGCAATGCAGTGACTTTTGAAAGCATTCTTGGTTCTAAGAAGACAGAGGTCACTGTTCAAGCCAGTCTGGAAGGCAGACCTGTGTTTGAGTCACATTTTCCAAAGAGAAGCAGTGACCTCCAAAATAGCTGAATTCCTCATGAAGCTTTGGTTCAGATGAAGTCCAGGACAATGCCAAAGCCAGCACCGCATGGCCAAAGAAATACATGCCAGGTATGTTTCAATAGGAGTCATTTATATTATTATATTCATTTATAATTCTTTTAGACCAAGGATGGGCAATGATGGCTTACAAGCTCTAAAAAGCCTTAGAGACCCTGGGTTGTCCCCCAGAAATCCCTCCAATTATGCTGCCCCAAATTGACCACATGGTTTGCTCTAATCACCATTTAAGAGCTGAAAGTTACTTTATAGTTTTATTTCAATACAAATATGGCTTACTTTTTTCCCCCCTTTCACTCCCCCCCCCCCCGGCGTGCACACGTTTTGCCATGGCAATTGCGTATCCTTTGAGAAACCCCAAATTTATTTCAGGGTCTACCTGATTTATATGCTTTAATTTGGATCCCTTCATTGAGTAAAGAGTTGTATTGGGTGTAAATACCCCTTGCAACTCTGCAGTTCAATGGACAAAGGGCTCTAAATGCTCCCACTCCCCCCAAGCTTGATGGTATGTTTTAAATCCTTGCCACTGAATCACATGAAGTAAGCGTGTGCCTGTGAACAGTGCCGGATCAAGGGTATATGGCACCCAAACCACATTGGCTGATATTGCCACCTCAACTGGTGCAAAGATTTGCATTTTTAGAAAGATATGAAGAAGGGCACCCCCTAAGGTTTGGCACCCTAGGCCAGAGCCTACTTGGCCTCAGCCTAATGCTGGTCCTGTCTTTGAAAAGCTCTTCTTTGCAGGAAGCTCACCTGCCATTGTTCTTCTTACCAAAGAATCTTTAATCAATCCACGCCCCTCCCCATAAATTTCCAAGCCCAGCCTCACAAATCCATCCATACAATAAGCTAGACAGTAGGAGTATGTAGATGTGGATTTGAAAGGGAAAAGGCGATTTGAAGTGTATGCGGACATGCCCTGTTGACACTTTGCCAGATCAAACACATCTTTTCTGGGATTGTGCAGATGCTTCCTTATGGAGATGTTGACCAGTGTAACCTGAGTGTTCTTGTCTGAATCCCATTTTCCTCTTTAAATAAAGGTTGTTGCACAGCCTTACTAGATAAATGATCACCACGACTTATCAGGATTTCAAAAATGAATTCTGTAACCTATGAATGGCCCAGGTGATGGGAAGGAACATTACGGTTGAACGAGCCTCCATGTAAACTGAAGTTATGTCCTAGCAGAATAATCGTGGCAATGCATCCAGGTTGAGGTAAATGGTTCCAAATCTTCAGTCTCAGAAATTATGTTCTTCCAGGGGTTCAGAGAAAGAGAATAAGGCTACATTTCATTACATGCAGGGTGGAAAGTTTAAGTACAGGGTCTCAACTTGTTCACTATTTCTATCAACAGTTCCTTTCCAACTGGTCCCTGCATTCAGTTTCTCTCCATAATCTGTCCAGCCTTGCCTGAGAACCTACAGCCAGCCAGCACCTGGTCAAGCACCTTCGTCCCCCCACCCATCACCCAACACAGACTGAGAAACTGCAAAGCCAACTCTTTAGCAACAGTTCAGAACAGCATCTAACAGCAACAGGAGCCAATAAACTGGAAGGGGCTAAATGAAAGCTGTATGTATAGCTACGAAGTAACAAAATATATGTACCAACAAAGGGATAGACAGTAATCTTATGACCCACAGGAAATTTTGCCTGTACCATTTCTCAAAAGAACACTCCAACATGGCTGGTGAAAATTTAGTTCAATTCTGTGTTGTTTCTTCTTCTTTGTTCTAAAAGACCTATTCCCGCCCAAAGACTATGCTATTGTCAGCCCTGATATGTGGGAACTGCAGTGTATTATAAATTGCGCTCATGTGACTTTCAGCCAAAACATTATGATAGCCATAATGAAACCCTCTGAGTTTTAGGTGTTCTCTACCTGGGGCTAAGATGAACTTGGAAAATTCATCAAGGCTTCAGAACCGAAAGACTGAATGAGTCACCCTCTGAAATGAACAGTTGCCTTCTGTCTAGGAGACACTGAATAAGGAGGAGAGGCAGAAATAACTCTTTAATTTCATCCCATATTTTCTCCAAGGGTTTTCATTTTTTTGGAATTACTCCTAGCTGCACCTCTGAGTAGAGAGTCTACAGACTGGCAGGGTTTGTTTGGGTTTCTGGGTTTTTTTTGCACTTCCCCCCAACTGATGTCATTCGATAATCTTCCAGTCTAGCCTCAGTGCCTGTCACAAAATGAATCTCATATTTTCACCAGCATAAACATTTTCACATGTATGTTTTTGCTAGAAAGCTGTATTGCGACATTCAGGAAAGAGTATTACAAAATCCAGAAAAGTATTGGAAGATAACTGCACATTTGACCACCTGTTCTTCCCCCATCCTGAATTAATGGCCGAGTTGAATTCTGGAACTGGATAACTAGCATGACGTTTTCTAAGACAGCAGGTTGTTAAATATGAGTGATCCCATCCACTATGCAGCTCTGGGACAAGGGATGTTTGGATGACATATCGTAAATGCTTTCTTCAGTTCCTTCCCTGAAGGATTATATATGTGATAAATAAAACATATAAAATGATTCATAAGTGCTTCCTTTGGCTGACCGTCAAGCGTGGTTTTTCCACATCTCTTTTTCATGGCCTTCCTTTATTTTCAAATGATGATGTAGCAAGCCGTGGAGATCTTTCTATTTCATACTAAGGGAAGAGTGAACTACAACACTGATCATCCACAGCTATTGTGGCACAGCGGAATGACAGTCACATTTCAGCTCATCATGAGCACGTCTAGGTTCAGCGTTTTCTGTTTATAGGCATTTTTACATTTATAAGGAAAATGCCAAGGATGCAGTGGAAACACTCCAAATGGATTTTTATATCATTGACAAAAATAAATCCACTCTAAGTGCTTTTTATATCTGTGACAAAAATAAAGTTCATTCCGTACTTGCAGGCTTTCCACTATGCTAGGAAACCAATTCTGTAAGTTAGAAGCCTTTCCCATATAATGGGAAACAGAAGTGAGGAAGAGGAAGAGGAAAGGAAGAAGGGAGGGAGGGAGGGAGGGAGGGAGGAAAAAAAAGGCTAGCATTAATATTTGCTATGAATTTTCTGCCCAGAGAAGGTAACCTGAATTCTACAATAGATACAGAAGCACATTTATATGCAATTTGTAAAACTGTCAGCATTAATGTGCTTAATTGGTGGATGAAAAGGAAAATTAGGTAGCAATTCTCAGTAGCAATGCTGAAAGTAATATTTTTGGGGGTGGCGTGTAGAAAGAGTAGATTATATTTTAGAGGTGACAAAGCAATTTGTCCCATATACTTTGTTTTTCAGAAGAGGGATAAATTTTGGTCAGTGACCATAATAAAATTCTGTTCAATTCTAAGAGAGAAATAATTATACTTAAGATTAACATTCTAAAGGGTCAGTCCTACTGAGTTTGAGGGAGCTAATTTTCAAGGCAGCATTTTTTGGCCTGTAGCTTCCTTTTCAGTCCATCAATTTAGAATTCAGAGATAAGTTCCCAAAATTATTCAGCTGGTTCTCAGAATTCCCAGATTTTTTTTTAAAGGTAATAAATCCTTTTGCAAGAAAATATCTAGATAAGAAATTCTAGAAGAATAAAAAGCTCTCCCATCCTTCAGATAAACTGAAGTGAGGCACAGAGAAGCATGAACTTGCAAGGTGAGGCCCTGAAGCCTGTAGAATATATTTTATTAAAAAATGCCAAAAGGAGGGAAACCACAAAACCCAGCAGCATTTTTTAGCATTTTTCAAGCACACGGAAAGGTGGGCATCAGTGTAAATTCACTCTATTGTATTATCTGAATTAGTGGACAGTTCATTAGAATTTGTCTTTTGTTTTACAGATTCCTTTTCTTTGTGTTAAGTAACTACTTTTCATATGCAACTTCCACATACAAATGTTCTTTTTCAGAGGCATCTGTTACCAAGGAATGGGCAGGGTTGTTTATTAGGAGAAACATGGACACCAGCAGATTCCAGAAAGTGCTGCCATGTTGGAATTTGTTTCACAGATCTTGCGAAGATTGATGGTGTCTGCAAGGAGGAGCGAGGGGAGGTAAAGGACAGCATATACATCATGACATCACACAAGTGACTCATCTTACACACATGCATCAGAATCATAATGCAAGTATATCATTGCATCATTTGCATGATGACATCATGACACATATTATTGTGATGTCACTGTGGCTTGCTAAAGACACCTGTGGTGACGGAGTTGTTTTACGTCCCTACTATAGAAGATGTTCTGTTAATACTAAAAGAATACTGAAGGTTAGTTGTCAAACCAAAATGGAAAAGTAAGGGTGGGGAATGAGGGATTAAATTGACCTGCTTGTAAATATGATTAATTATTACTCTACAACAAAACTGGTTTTTTTGTTTTTGTTTTTGTAGGAACGACAATTGGTCCATTAAGGTGAAGGCAACTGCCACGTTTGTAGAAACCATGGAACCACTTCAGCATTGCTCTGGAACCTGACCAATGCCTAATGGTTGAGCAGGTATGTACTCTCGAGCACTGCTCAGTTCAAAACACATTGTCTACACAGCATTCAATCTTCCAACTCAAGTGCTGCTTTTGGAAATGTTCACTGAGGAAGCATCTAATAGGCTCAGATTCCAGCCATGGCATAAATCTTATGTATTTCA